AAAAAAAAAAAAAAAAAAAAAAAAAAAAAAAAAAAAAAAAAAAAAAAAAAAAAAAAAAAAAAAAAAAAATAAAAAGTAATTATAATTCTCTCTCTCCTCCCTCTCTCTCTCTCTCTCTTCTTCTCTGTTTGTAAAGTGTCCAAAGCAATGACCAATTGGCAATTGCCAAGTGGAGCTATAAAAGCGAAAGAAAGTGTCGGTCTTGTTCCTGTAAAACAAACGAACTAAAGCCTAAAAAAATCCTAGCAGTCTAATATTCTGCCACATGTCCGGTTCGGTCCGTCCAGTTGGACCGCTCGCCGTCGCCCGAAAACCATAGAGCCTTCGGGTAACTCCCCAAGGTCAGCAAATAACGATTCGTCCTCGTCATCTCCTCTTGTGGACAAAACCATTACATCGGCGTCGTCGAATATGTCGCCTCCCCCGCAAATTGGGCCCTCCAGGATTCTATCGTATGCCACGTCAGCCAACCATCCAAAATCGCCGATGCATGGTTTTATCATCAGCGAGTCGCCGCCGAGTTCTAGTTCTGGCTGACTCGCAAAAACCGCAGCCGCCTCCTCGAACTTCGCCGCCGCCGGAAATGAGGGATCGGTGTTCGTATGGTCGCCGGAGGAAGTTGACGACGACGTCGTAGTGCTTCCCGGGGATGAGGAGTCGGGTGCAGCGGCGATCGCGGCGGAGGACGGCGAGGAATTGTGGTGGTGGTGGTGAGATTTGGTGGCCGGGAGTTGGTGGTTGTGGTCGAAAGCGTAGGTAATAACGAGCTTGGTGGGGTCCACACGGCTTCTCTCTACTTGCTTTCTGGCTGGGCAGCCCTTGGAGCTACTACATCGATAATATCCCCTATAATAAAAAATATATATAAACAATAATTAAAAAAAACGTGAGATTAATATAAATATTCCAAAAGTAAAAAAAATCAATAGCCAATAACGAAGCTAAGAAAGATAAAATTAAAAAAAAATTTAAACTTTCATTAAAAAATTAACTTATTTAAATTTATATTAAAACGGGAAAAAATATGAAATTTTGACTTTTTTCTTTTTTTGACTCAAACAATTGACAATTTGATTTATATATGCCGACCAAAAACAATAATATTTTTTTTTTCAAAAAAAAGCAATTAAGTAATATTTTATCCAAAGAAATTTCAGTATGCCTTCGATGTGAAAGGCAGCTTGGAAAATGTCGTAATTTCCTTTTGAAGAAAATTAATTAAAATTCAAAGACCGTTTAAAATATTCAATTTCAGAAATAATTAAAAATCGTGCAATAATTAGGTAAATAAGAAAACAAATAGAGCAATAATTAAATTTTGAAGATATTTTATAAAAAAATATTTTTAATACAGCCAGATTGAATTCGGCGTAATTAGGGCAATAATTAGGTAAAAGAAAAAGGAAAAAAAAAAGTGAAAAAAGTGAGCGTGTTGTACACGCTATTGTGAGAGCGATTGGATAATGAGTATGATCCCAATTCCCAACTAGACAAATAAAAAAAATCAAGCGCTCAATAGCAAAAGCCGCTAAAATGCGCCAATCTCTATCCAGATCCCATAGTAGCCGGCCGGCAGCCGGCGGCGGCGGCGGCGGCCAACAAAGTCTAGAATTGAAATCTCAACCATTTTTTCAACTACTCAATTAAATGAGCTCAAATTAATATTGAAATGCACCAAAATAAATGCAATTCCCTCTACGACTAGAACTTAATTAATGAAATAAATAGATATTAATCATCCAAAAAAAGAAAAAACCCCAGAATTACCGAAAATGCCCCTCGAGTTTGTATACTATATTGGTGTACCTGGGATAAGGAGAGCCTTTGATTGGCTTTTGGCCGTATTTCCTCCATGCCCATGAATCGGACGGTGGATATGCTTCCCCTTTGCTCTTAGATCCCTCCACGTCGCCGATTGGTACGGACACTACTCTCTTCTGAACTCCCCTTCTACTGTATACAACAAAACCCCCAAACAGCACAAACAATCAAATTACAACTCAAAATTATAATTATGAAAAAAAAAAATGAAATTCAAACTGACCTCTTTTTGGGAGGGGGGCCGGCGGCGGGTTTTGAATCATTGTCGTCGGAGGGTGACTCCGGTAGGCCGTCGTCCGACGTGGCTTCTGGATCTTCTTGCTCTGAGACAAATGGGTTTGTACGAACACGGCGGTCCATGCCCGGAACAACAGCAAATAATCAAAGAGAGAGACAGAGAGAGAAACCCGGTGGCCGGAATTTGTATGATGACGATCAATCCTGCGGCTGAGAGTAGAGAGAGAAAAGGGAATTGGGATTTGGGCGGAGAGATTGGGTAAGGGGGGGAGTGAGAGAATTAGATGAGGTTAAATACAAAGAGCAGTCATGGTGACAGATTGGCAGACTATGTTTGTTTATTAGGGACGTGCAAGCAAATACGCACTAAATTATAATGTTTTAGTTGAGGATTAAGGCTAAGGGGTTTAACTTCTATACGCTCAGTTGCACTGTAAGGTTATGTACAATTATTCAATTATTAGATACATTAAAATTTAATTACTCTTTATTTCATCTCTAAAATTTTAAAATATCTCCCAACTTTTTATATTATATTTAATAAAAACTTTAAAAAATATCATTTTTTATTTATCTCTAATAAATAAATACTATTTTAATATTGTATTTGTTAATTTCATTTTATAGTTTGAAACCTAATGGGAATCCGGATTACACATTCCCTAAAAGTTCACACCGTGACGTGACGGAGGGAGTTGTAATTAATGTTAATATTTATATTTAGAAGAATAAGTATTGGGATAATTATTTTAATTTGATGGCTTAATTAATAGGAAATAATTTTTTATTCTTATTATCTGTTTATTTAGAGAGTAGTTCAAGCATTGAGGCGCTTCATTTGATTTGCGGCGTTGTTGCTCCATGCAAGAATCAAATCCCAAAGGCAAGATGGTTAGGTAAAGGCGATAAGGATGAGGACATGATTTCATTTCTTTTTTTTTTTTTTATTATTATTCGATAAAAATTAAAAGTTTGAATACTCCCTCTCAATTTTTATTATTATTTATAAATAAATTTAAATCAATATCCAAATTTTCAAAAATAAAAATTCATTTTTTTTATTTGTCTAAAAAAATTTAGTTGAAAAAGGTTACAAAAAATAAATAGATTTTAAGTAAAATAAAATAGTTATTAAAAATGATAGACGAGAGAGTCGAGCAGCAACGAAAGGTGACAAAAAATGGAATGAGAGTCGAGAGACACGAGGAAGATAGTAGAATGCAATGAAACGAGAGATAAGAATTATAGATGACTGAAGTGAACAAAAAAATATTGGTCCAGTTACGATTGAACTCAAAACTTAGATTTTAAACTCGTTATATCTAAATATAAAAGAAGTTATAGGATAAAAGTAAAAAATAATAATAACTTAAATTTAAAAAGCAAATAGAAATTAATAAATAATATTTTAAAATTGAAATTAAAAGGATATTTTAAATATATATATATATAAAAAAGTTTGAGAACCCCACACGTTAAGTTAATTTGACGTTAGTGTTGGGTTAATGTCAAGCGGCATGCAAATGTGCCTAACTTAATTGGAAAATCCGAACTCAAAAAATAATTTTAAAAAATAAAATTAATGAGAATTTTTGGTGGCGACCAACGAAAAAAATTGGAAATTTGTCGTTTAGCTATGGACATCACCAGCTTGCAAATTAATGTTCAAAGTTCTACAAAAAAAAAAAAAAAAACTACGTTTGAACGGTTGGCCAATGAGAGAGGAATCTTGGCACATGTTGACTTTTAATAAAAACAAATAAAATAAATTATTTTTAATCATAGAGCAACCATTAATTAATTTATTATTGTATAAAAATCTCAAAATAATGAAATTCATGCAGCCAGCTCGTGTTGGTGTCGCCCAGTATTTTTTACATGCATGAGGTAAAATTTGTTACTAAAGCTTAGACGAGGTGTTGTAAAAGAGTACTATCACTCTACCAGCGAAAATGGTTGGACTTATATGGACATACACAGTAAATTCTTGTTTTTAATGGTTTTACTGAAGATCCCATAGGCTTGTGCTATCACATTATAAATTTTATTTTATTAATAATGTTTTAATGTTACAAAGTTATATATTTTTTAAATATGTATTTATTAGCAAATTTAGAAACTAAAACTCGACTGACGAATATAACCTTTAGGGAGACAACTGCCCCCATGCCTTCCATTTTTGGTTCGCCCATTTCCAAAATTATAAGGAGAGGCAGAATTTTATTCGAGGTTAAAAGAGTCAAGTATTTTTTGCCCATATTAATTATACGCGCTGTTTATTTCCTTTCCATTTATGACTATACCAAAACGACGCCGTTCAAATAAGAGATTCCGAGAAAGTTATAAATAATAAATAGACAAAAGTGGAGTAAAAGAGGAGCTGGGTTTTAGAAATTAAGAATAATATTATTTAGTTTCTATATATTATCAAATAAAACTATTATCTGTCTGACTTCTTCCACGGCTTATTTAATGCTCTTCAATTATTGGTAATATATAATTATCGATATTAATTAATTACAAAAGATTGAATGGATATTTACTATCCAAATGGAAATGATAAAGAAATAACGGGATATATAGATAATTTAATTTAATTCCGTAACATAATTTTAATATTTTGGTCTAAGAAATAAGTTGACCAATTCTTATAATAAGTTTACTTCTTTATTTTTTTAAAATAAATGGCCATTCTTACGTTTGAGCGGTTGAAAAATACAACCAATCAAGTGACTATTTATAACCTATGCTTTATTTCGACATAATTAATGTTATTCGGGTTAGAATAATTCAACTTTTTTGGGTTAACGTGGATCTTAAGCTTAGGTCTGTTTCAAAAAAAATAACTAAAAATAACTTTCAAAATTTTGAAAATAATATTATTTTTTCAGTCAAAGCCAAGGGCAGCATCGTCATTGAGCGACGATTCCTCTTCATGAGTTAGACATATTTTCACCGAAGCCAAGGTAGCATCGCCGCTAAGCGGTAATCGCTCTGCAGTTTTCGATGGTCAAGAAAGTGTTTCTCTACGCCTCCTCTAAACCAAGTTGTTGACATCTTCACGAAAAGTGTTTTTCGACCTTTCTTTCAATTTTTCAAATCCAAGCTTCACATTCGTTCAAATCTGACGCTCAGCTTTTGCAAGGGTGCTAAAGATATTTAATACTAAATTATAGCTTACTATATATATATAATATTTGATATTTTATTATAAGGCAAATATCTATGTATTTTTTTAATTTTTGTTATTTTCATTTATTACTCTTTCAATATTCTTATAATTTGTTTAATTATAAATATATAACTTTAAATTATTTTTATAAAAGTTTATGGAAGAATCAAAAGCTATTAAATTGTAAAATATACTCAATGCCATGTTCAATTGAGTGAAGCCCCAAAGACAAGAAAGTTTTGTGTCTCTTAAGGTAATGGCAACAATGTCTTTGTATAATCTTAAAAAATAAATATGTTTTTTTTTTTTTTTTTTTTTTTACA